CGTAAACTACGCCAGAGCGCGTACACACCTCACACACCGGATGTCGTGTGCGCGCTCAAGGAAGTTGGACATTGCGGTGAATCAGAGGTAAATAAATATATAAATACTGTTCGGTTTCTGGCACAAACCGATCGTTTCGTGTCTTAGGACATCAATGTGTCCTCACGAGCCGCAGGGTTTAATTTGGATTTGTCTGTGCATGTTTTTTTTACTCTCATAGATTTTGTTACCATTGCCATGCATTATACGACTGATAGACTGCAACGGTTGGACTTAAAAATCATAATTTGTGTTCTACTGAAGAAACAAAGTCACCTACATCTTGGATGCCCTGGGGGTAAGCAGATAAACATCAAATTTTCATTTTTGGATGAACTATCCCTTTAAACACGACAGCACTTGCCATCTCATCAGTGAGGACAGGCCTTAGGTTTGATGCATGATCACCAAAAGAGTACAGTCATAAAATGATTATGGCAAAAGCAGACAGATGGAAAAACACTGAGGAACGTGAAGATGCATCGTGCCTGAGCCAAAGAGCAGAGGCACAGCTCAAGCTCTTAAGTGGACAGTTTAAGGAGCTGGTCCACTCAAGCATGCTTCATTAGAACGCGGTGCACTTTGCTAATGGCTTTGATTGGCTCCCTTATAGATTTAACGGCTGTGGTTAATTAAATTTGATACAGCCATAAAAAAGTCACAGACAGCTATTGATTTACACAGGTCTGAGATTATTCTATCAAATCATCTTAAGCATGGAGGGGACGTTCTGATGTCTTGGCTGAAGCCATAACTATAAGAATAGCACTGTAATACAGAAATGGCTTTTGACTATTAATCTAAGATATAGCATAGTTCAAAGTCTGCCATTAATTGCACACTGGAGAAAGACTGCACACAGAGAACTAAAGGCAGTTAAAGACTTTCTTGCAACACAATGACTATGTGTTCTCTGGAAAGGGAGAATTAGTACCATTGCCAAAACAGCGAGTACAAGTATGAAATGTATTGTCATTTTGGATAAGAAAGTGTTTGCTAAATGAAAAAGATCCACATAATCCTATGCCTCAAAAACATTATGAGTCATGGAACAGTGATATAGCATAATGAAACCAATGCCTGGTGGGTTTATTCTCCACCTACTACAGTTGCAATCAGTGATCGAATTGGGCCAGTAATCACCAGTAAAAGAAATTAATGTGCAATGATGTTAGAAATATTTAGGTGAAAATTTGAAGGTATTATCTGTAGTCAATTGTGTAGCAATGTATGAAGATAAAGCTCACACAGAAGTCACTTTCAAACAGTAGGTTCCTGTTAGTCAACACAATCTGCATGACCAACTGGAACCGCTGTGAAATCTGCATGGGCAAATTTTCTGCCCTCATGAGAAATTCCTATTGAAATGTCTAGATTTTGCCTGCAAAAATGTACAGAATAACGGTAAATGTGAGCACACCTTTAATCTTACGTATCAGCAGTTTTCACAAATTGATAGGTGTTCTGAAAATTTGATCAGTGATCTGATCCTTATTTTTTTATACAGATATTAGGCCAGGTTAATATATTAACTGAAAATTTGATCAGTGATCTGATCCTTATTTTTTTATACAGATATTAGGCCAGGTTAATATATTAACTGAAAATTTGATCAGTGATCTGATCCTTATTTTTTTATACAGATATTAGGGCAGGTTAATATATTAATGTTATTTAAAAATGTACAATGCGATGGTTTTTACCTAATGTACAGAATTTGATTATATTCATAATATAATTTCATTATATTTGAAGTTTACGGTAACACTTTAGTATAAGAACCAATTCTCACTATTAACTAGTTGTTTATATAAAGCAGCACATATTCTGCATGACCATATTCTACATCCCTAATCCTACCCAATACCTAAACTTAACAACTATCTTACTAACTATTAATATGCAGCAAATTAGGAGTTTATGGAGACAAAAGTCATAGTCGTAGTTTGTTAATAGCAAGAATTGGACCTTAAAATAAAGTGCATGTGACCGATTTTACTGTTTTGGCCTGATTTTGTCTAAAGTAAGAAATCCTGACAAAATTTTATTTATTATGAAAAACATTAGAGTAATATTTTCCAGATTTGTGCTTTAGTTTAGCACGATGATTCAAAAATGAATTATTATAATTATTATTATAATAATAATGCCAGCACAAAGTTCCAATGTAGCAGCTTTATATTTTAGGAAGTGGGTCCCTCACAAGGGAATCATCATATTTAGGGATTCTTGGCATTAAAAAGTATGAAAATAACTTGTGTGGGCAACAGGGCCGATATTTAAAACAAAAACTGAGCATAAGTTGTATGCCTGCAACATGTACTCTGTAGAATCTTCTGTACCCATAGAGCTCAAAAAAAGTTAGCTTAGTTAAGATCGAAAAGAACAAGTACTGTGGCACAAAACAGTAAACAAGCTCTCATTTATGTCAAGCTCTTGGTGGAATAGGAGCACTCAACCTCAAGCGTTCTTAAGTCATCTCCCTATCAGAGCCACCATCAAGACCAGCTTCTGGCTATGCGGAAGACCACGGCCCATCTGTTGAGTGTGTTTATTTGCAGTAAACAGGACCCTCATCTCCCTGGCCTTCCTCTGCCAGCTGCTGCTCGTTATGCTGAGTGCCCACCTCTGTCTTAATTGACTACTGCTGGATGCAAAGGGATCCCCGGGGACGAGGTAGCAGAAGGGGCAGACGCGGACTGCTTGGTGCGTATCCACTTGGAGGCTAACCTGCTTCTTCTCTCTGACTGCAGAGCATAATGCCTTTAGTGTGCCAGTAAATTCAAACCAGTCAGACTAAACAATGATGGAACATTTTTAGTATCATGGGGCCTTCTGGTCCCAACTGTGACACACCACAAGAAATCAGATTTTAGGATGCTCACTTCATTAACGCCACAACATTAGAGCTTTCATTTTATGGCAGCTGCGGTTATGATATAGATCGTCAAAAATGCATCATGGGGCCACTTGACATACTCTTTATAAGTAAAATGGTTTATTCTAGCATTGGCAGAGAAGCCAATTAAACTGGTTTCTTTACTTTTCGCTGAAGTCAGTTTTACTGCGCAAGCAAAATGTAATGCTGTTAAACTGAATTACTCATTATTTGTGCATGTACAGTTTGTTTAAACTCATTAGCGCTTTGTGCATGTTGTAGATTTAATTTATTACTTTTCTGATTTCATTTCCACTAATGACACTATCAAATGCAAATCAACCATCTGCATGCACATTATTTGGGGTGCACTGAACTACATCCAGATGGGGTAAGTCAAATGCTTTGTACATTAACACATGATATCGACGCAAATCCAATGGACAATTAGACAGCAAGCTTTCTTTGGCCATCTCTATTTTACACAAAGGAAAACATGCAGTCTCTATTTTAGTTATTTTTCCTGAAGGAAAAAAAGTACTTCTTACCTCAGTGCAGAGATAGTTCAAAGCTGTGAAGTCCCATCTTTTAGCATGTACTGTGTTGTAACTCAATATTGCATCCTGTAAGATTATGAAAGTTAAAACATTTGATTTTCTTTTTTAAATATTAACAATTCATTTTTTAGAAGCCTTTCATATCTAAGAAAAGGTAAACCACCAAATCACATTAAAATAAGTCAGTACTACAATTTGGTAAAACTATAACATTTATTAGATAACTAAAACCTGCCTCACATCTTGGAGCAATTCTGCCACCCTCTGGTGGGATTCATTACTTATTCTTTTAGCACAACTTTCTCAAGACATAAAACAAAACATACCCTAATGTCAAGTGAACTTTTGCATTCTCCTTCCAAAGCTGTACGAATCAACTCCCATCGACTTTGCACTACACTTCCATCCTGAAAAAACACATCATACTGTACACATCAAATAGATACCATACACACTATATCATTTAACAATAATTTTTTGAAAGAAATTAATATTTTTATTCAGCAAAGATGCATTAAATAGAATGAGTAATAGTAAAGACATTTGTCATAAAAAGAGGGTTATTTTAAATAAATGCTTTTTGAACTTTGTATACAGCGTATACAGCAGAAAAAATGTATTGTGTCCACAAAAATATTAAGCAGTAAAACTGTTCTCATTAATAATAATAATAATAAAAATAAGTTTCTTGAGCACCAAATCAGCATATTAGAATGATTTATGAAAGAT